TTATGAAAGCACTCCCTGGTAAATATGAAGAGGAGGAAAGATGCCTCATACACAAACCCATGTGCATGTTTCTGCCTCATAGCATATGGTGCTGGAGGGTAGGGGACAGGGTTCCTCCCCTGAACTCTGCAGGACGGTGTTGTGAGGCTCTTTGGATGAGTCTCTGGGGGACCTGACTGTTGGAGTGGAGGGAAGCGCCTGGGTTAGGAATAACTGCCACCCAAGCCTGTCAGCTTGTTGTACAGGAAGTTAGGAAGGCGGATGCATTGTGAGGAGCTGATAACTCAACTCAACGCTCCTTCCTGGCCTTGCCAGCTGCCTCCCCTCCTCCTTTTCTGGTTTCATAATATCCCACAGGCCCAGGGGAGTGGCCTGGAGGGGGGGGGAGAGGGTTCAAAGAGGCCTCTTCCAGGCATCGTTTTGGCTTGGCATGTTTCTTGTACCGCGGATACAAGCCGAGTTCGGTTCTCCCAGTGAATAGTGGATATTAGTGTATAAAGTTACAATAGTGTAACTTTCATGAGTAAAACTGCCTTGAAGCAAACTGACCATCTTTCTCCTTCCCCATTGAATCATCAAGCACATCTTGAAGGGAAGGAAGCCTGGATGCTCATTCTAGAAGGCCGATTGTCTACCAGGCAGCCGCAATGGATGGAGCCATTGAGGAATAAGGAGGGCAACTACACTTGAATGGCAATACCCTTCTAAATGCCCACACCTTCCCCCTTCTGCAAATTTTAGAGTTATTTGTTGTCAGAATGATTCTACTTATTGCATTTCCCTTTGACCTGCTCCAAAAGTGGCCTTGAGAGTCCTACAGTTCCCCTTCCTCTGCTTTTATCGTTTTCTGGATAACATAGGCCAGAATTCCTTTCTTTTATGCTCACAGAGGCCTTCAGGGAATATCCAGAAATAGGTCTAACCCTTGAGGGTTTTGAGGGGTCCATATGGCAGAAGAAGACAGGAGGCACCACAGAAACCACAGTAACTGCCTTCCTGTGGTGGGCAGTCTTGAAAGATGCAACTGTGGGGCAGAGCAAGGTAGGAAAAGGATGGGGACTTAGAAAGGGAGAAACACGTACACAGCAGCTTGCCCACCCGGCTGATGACATTGTTATATAGTTTGTAAAAGGGAGTATGTATGTCACTCCATATTCTGTCCTGGACTATTAAGAGCTACATATCTTTTTTTGATTCAGTTGCATGAGCCTAATAAATAGTTGAACGGTGATCAATACAACGTTAGCTTCAGTCCACAGTCTGGTGTCTTCTTCTCTGTGAAAAAGCTCGTTGTAATTTGTGTGGTATATTTCAGAAAATAATTTAGTAGATTGGATTCTGAGGCTGAATTGATATCTTATATTCTTATGCATGCATGACAACTGTGCATGAGATGCCTTCGCTTTTCAGTTATGCTACGTGAAGTTTTAATTTTCCGTCTTTTTTTCTTACAATTCCAACCCCAGTTTTGGTTTTGTCATAACTGCAGCCACATTGAGCGAGCATTTCTATGGGGGGGGGGGGTGTTGGTTCCTTGTGATTTCATAAGTAACCATAGTGTGTGCAAAATTTCAGATGTGCACTTTGAATATTATGTTGCACTTTCTTTAGCCCAGTTGTTAAATAACACTGGTTTCCATGAACGCATTAGGAAATCCCACTGCTCACTTATTTATAAATACAGTAAGTACATCATTACTTAAGCATATTTAATTTTTTTTCCTGGACTTCCTGTTTTAACTTGCAACTTAGAATAGAGTAGAATAACAGAGTTGGAAGGGACCTTGGAGGTCTTCTAGTCCAACCCCCTGCTCAGGCAAGAAACCCTATACCATTTCAGGCAAATGGTTGTCCAATAGCTTCTTAAAAACTTCCAGTGTTGGAGAATTCACAACTTCTGGAGGCAAGTTGTTCCACTGGTTAATTGTTCTGTCAGGAATTTTTTTCTTAATTCTAGGTTGCTTCTCTTCTTGATTAGTTTCCATCCTTGCTTCTTGTCCTGCCCTCAGGTGCTTTGGAGAATAGCTTGATTCCCTCTTCTTTGTAGCAGCCCCTGAGATACTGGAACACTGCTACCATGTCACCCGTAGTCCTTTTCATTAAACTAGACATACCCAATTCCAGCAACTGTTCTTTATATGTTTTAGCCTCCAGTCCCCTAATCATCTTTGTTGCTCTTCTCTGCACTCTTTCTAGAGTCTCAACATATTTTTTACATCGTGGTGACCAAAACCAGATGCAGTATTCCAAGTGTGCCCTTACCAAGGCATTATAAAGTAGTATTAACACTTCACATGATTTTGTTTTTTATTCTGTGATTTTTTTTCCAAAAACACATTTAGCTGCAAATGTATGTTAAATTGTGTATGTCTACTTTTTCTTGCTATTCAAAATTTGCTGAAATGTTGGTTATTTTTTCATTAGAAAGACTTATTTTGCTACATGTCTCACAATGCAAAGTACACTTTACCTCATTGGCATATTTTTGACAGATCTATAGATTTTTGGATTTTCTCTCTCTTTAAATTTGCTTTTGAAATTGCTATTCTTAAATCAGAGAACAGGTTTGGTTGTCTGCAGTTGTTGTGATTGTTGGAAAGCAAAGCACAACTGGATGTTGCCTAATCTATTTTTAAAATTGGAGTATTCTCCATTGCAGGTTTCATTTGTGCATAGAGGAAGGGGCTGCAGGGATATAGGAAGCAAAAAGTACCCTTTTCCTCAATTAGACATTACTCAAATTATATTTAGTTTGTAAACTTCTTTTTAACAAATGCAAATAAACCAACTTTCTTAGCTTATTGAACTAATGCATTTCCACTGCCATCTTACTGTTATAGTAAGTCACAGTATTAATGCTGGGGATGGAGGCTGAGTAATAAATCCTTCTAATATATAATATCTAGCATACATACTAGCCTGGTTTATGAAAAACATTTCTTCATGTTAAGCAAGCCTAAAAGATTGTCATATTTTTTCTGAACTTTTCTGGTGAAATTCTAATGATTATCTCATTTCTTATACTGCTAATGTCTAACCCATGTTAATCTAGTCTGCCAAGGATTGCTATACCTTCCCAGAAGAGTAACATGCCTCAAACAATAATGATTCCTAGTATTTCTTACTAGTAACTATCTGCTCCTTAATTACTTTTGTCAATTACAATTTACATAGAACATGGGCAGTAGTTGAAGGGAGGGTAATGAAAGTTGAAGCAAGCAGTCTGATATCCAAGCATCTCTCTCCCCCCTTTTTTCCACCTGCTACAGAAGCCCAACCTTCCCAAAGGGGCCATCCCTCTCAAGCAAGAAAACAAAGACCTCTTTATCACCCCCCCTCTACCCATATGGGAAATTTGCAAGCACAAGAACCTGTCTTAAAGGCACAGGTAGGTTCTCTGTCCATTCCTGGGCTGTATTGGAAGGAAGCTTCAACACAATAAACTCTATTATAGAATTAGGAACTACAGTACATATCTTTAAAGGGCCATAGTTCGTTCATTGTCCCCCATCTATATGCTAGATCATACATCTAAAACAGTGGTGGGTTTCAAAAATTTTTACTACCAGTTCTGTGGGTGTGGCTTGGTGGGCATGACAGGGAAAGGATACTGTAAAATCTCCATTCCCACCCCACTCCAGGGGAAGGATACTATAAAATCCCCATTCCCTCCCCAATCCAGGGGAAGGTTACTGCAAAATCCCCATTTCCTCCCAATCAGCTGGGACTTGGGAGGCAGAGAATAGTCAGAATTTTTACTACCCGTTCTCCGAACTACTCAAAATTTCTGCTACTGGTTCTCAAGAACTGGTCAGTACCTGCTGAAGCTCACCTCTGATCTAAAAACCAATAATATTAGCTATCAGAAAAAGCATACCTGAACTAAGCTTCGAATATGAAACTTGAGAGCAAGTTTATAAATGTCCTTTTTATAAATAAGATATCTATGTATTCTATATTAAGCAGAATGAATATAGACATATACTTTTCTAATGGTGCAAGCTAGGAGACAGGAAAAGTGTTTTTATTATATATTAAAGAATAACAATTAATTATGTTCACTTACCATCAGATTGAGAAGATGACTTTCAGTGCCATAAAATATAAAAACCAATGAAAACACAAAATTACTATGGTGGTGACATGGACACCTAGGTTTTAGTGGGGGGAAAAATTACAAATTAAGAAATCACGTATCATGCTAATACCACCCAGCAGGTTTTAAAGAACTCAAGTGTGAAGTCACTGATCATTTGACAAAAATAACCTATTGACATAACCTTGTATAACTGCTACAGTTTATCTCAGGCAATTTAAGAATTGGACTCTAATGTGACAATTAACAGTAACTGTTTTAAGGATTTTGAAAATGTCCCAAAGTTGTAATTCCCAAAAGCCTTTGAGATATGCCTTGCAAGCAGTCAAACCAGTTTTTAAATATTGGGTTTGACAAATGGGTACAATTGTTGGTTTCTTTCATTTGGGAGAAGGAATGGGCATTTCATTTTAAAGATAAATTATGTATGCCAAATATCTCTTTAGTCCAGTCATTCCAGGATTCTCTTTGCTGTGCACTTCTGCAAACAATATAAAACAATGCATAGTGTCTGTATTGAATGCCTTTCTCAATGCCGACACAGTGTGGGTGTATCCCATTCATGCCTGTGTTGTAATTAAGTGTGGTCTTGATTTTTCTTCCTTGTTCTTACTATATACCCCGTTCTCTGGTTTGGTTGACTGTGTGGTAACCTCAGAGTAGCTTAGATCATTTCTCTAGTTTTCTTCCTTTTGGTACATGTGTGCATTACTGTATTGTAGTGATCTGCTTGTTTTCTTTTCCTGAGCTCTGAAAACTTAGATAGGAAGCTATTCTGTGGAGTGTGTTTCTTGGAAAGAGTGCAATACAGGGTTTCTTGGGAGGGAAAAGAATACTGTTAGGGCCATCTCCACCAGTACCAACACTGTGGTTTCCCTGCCCCTTGCACAGGGGCGGCTCCTGTTATGTAATATCAGCAGCCCCCAGCGAGGCGAGGCGGGGCTCACACTGTACAGCTCTGGCCACCTGGAGTCTGGAACAGCAACAGCGATGGAAGCACCCTGAAGCCCCATAGCAACTGGGCCCGGAGAGGTGGAAGGCGCTTACATGTGGGGAAAATTGGGGGTCCTTTCTGCTGCACATCCTGGAGGAAAGCCTTTTCTTCCCCACCCCCAAGCTGCACACCTGGCTAGACAGCTAGGAATTTCAGCAGGTAAGGGGCCATGCCACAGCCTCAAAGGATATCATTGTTTCCACTCCTGTTAGGGAAGGAGGGAGGGTGGATGCTATTTCTGTACCTGAATGCCTAACCAGGCAAGCTTTTTTTGGGGGGGGGGAGTAATGGGACCTCTAACCAAATGTGTGTTTGAAACTCCAAGACCAGTCAGTTCCTTGGCCCATGGAGCTATGCATCACCTTCAAAAGGTTCCCCAGGAAGTAAATTCTGCTGGATTGTTGTTCCTGTCTCCAGGCATTAGGATTTTGCTTGATTTTAAATACTTCATCAGTGGAAATAGATGTTCTATGTTCCATATAATATGACCCAAGGGATTTTCTGGGAAATATATGGGAATGGAGAATGGGAAGCAAATGAAGGTTTTTTTTTGCTCACCCGTCAATTCTGATGTAGAAATTGCAGGTGTGTCAATGTGATATTTGAGATATTTTGATACTTTGAGATAATACCCATTGAGTTACTCTTTTTAGGCAACATAGCTTTGGCTGGAGAAAATATAACTTTCTAGTGAGATCTGAACTTCTAGGGCAGCAGGAGATCAATGCAGACATAAATGAAGGTGAAGCACACAAAACCGTACATAAGCAACGATCTCCTGCATGCATAGAGGAACATATAACTGTAAAAACGAGAAAGAAACTTGTGATCTCTGAATGCCTAACAAATTTATTATGGCATAAACTTTCCTGGACTACAATCCTCTTACTCAGATGTTGATAAATTTCCTGTAATAAATTTGTTGGGTTGTATGCCGCCACAAGACACTGTCTGTTGAACATGATTATAACCACTAGAAAGTATAACTGTAGAAGTTCACTTACAAACAGTGCAGCATACAGTCAATTGAGTGCACAAATGTCACTCCACGATACAAAGATCACAAAGATAATTTTATATATCATCAAGTCTTTTGAATGTTCTTGTAAGCTCATACCAGGAAAACATAGACACAACTCCACACAGATCATGAGTAAACACTGTTTGCCTTATCCATTTCATAGCATTGTTGTTGTGGGATTCAAATTAAGTAGCTCTCATTATCTATTAGATCTCTAGCTAAATGCAGTAAGCAAATAAAATATGAAGCATTCATTGCAAATATCAGATAGATCAAATACTTGGGTATTGGCAGCCACCTCCTAAATTGGTCTAATAGTGATTTTTTTACAGTATACATGCTTGGGAAATTTGCTTCCATAACATGAGAGTTATGCTTATGTAATGCGATATAAAACGTGATGTAAAAATAAAATATTTTTTCAGGTTCCATAATATTCAATAATGGAAGTCGTCTTTTGGGGATACATTGTCATAATTTTAAACTGTTTTTAATAGGGTTGCTGATTTTAATTTTATTTCATTGTGATTTGTATTGGAATTTGTCATTTTGTAAGCCGCCTTGAGTCCCTAGGGAGAAAGGCGGCGTATAAATCGCAATAATAAATAATAAATAAGTAACAGTGAATGGAACTGGGAAATTTTGTCTGGTGAAAGGCACCAAGTTTAATTTGTTTCATAACTTAAAGCTAGGAACAAGGTTTGGATGTTATGGCTGATGTGAAGTATGTAAACCAGCATAATACAATGGGGATAAGCTCAAATTCATATTTAGCTCTTTCATTAACTTGGACCAAGGCACTCTGCATAATGCCAATAGGTAAGCCGAGAGCTGTACATGCCACAGGGTTTGATAATCATCAGAGGCCAAAACAAAGTTATTAGTTGTAGATATTCTTAGGTGTTTTGCAGAATACTAAAAGTGGCCAAGAAAATTTAATGTTTGTAGTGCATATATGCTATTGCATTTTTAACCTCCAGTAAAGAGGGGTTGTGGTATCATTTCAGATACCTGAAAAACTATTTGACAGGGGATGCATATCTACTAGCTAACTAGCATATCTACCAGAAAAGCTAAAAAGTCTATTTGAGTTAGAGAATAATTGTATCTTGTTGATTTATCCTCTATGCTTTGTGGTGCGTTAATGTAGATTGCATTTCCTGTACAATCTTGATGAAGAGGTTACTATAGTAAGAATCAGTAACCCAGTTCATACATATGTTTAACCATTATGTGGGTTCTGGCTTAGCAAGTTGTATATACTATGATATGAAGAAGATGGTAAGATGGAAGTTTTGACTAGAAGTCTTTGGTTATGTCTGGTTTATTTTACCCTCTACTGAATTGAAGAGTTCCCTCTACTCTTTGAGTACTCTATAGACGCTTTCACTAATGCTGTTTCCTCCTATATGATATGCAGTACACAAGAACTATTATTGATCCAACCTACGTTGTCTATGATTTATAAGGATGCAATTGCAAACTCACATTTTAAATTCACTGTAATATGGCGTGTTGTGAGCATGCAGAACTATATGTTGTGTATGTGTTGATATATATTTCAGTATCTATATGTGTATACATACATGTGCATATGTTTTCAATCTACTGCCCTCTTCTGGGTGTATATAGGTGACACTGCTTTATATATATTTTTTCTCAAGTGGAATCCAGAGGGGAGTCTGGAAAAAACTTCAGATGCTGTTCTAGGGATGGAAGTAGGGATTTTCTACCAAACTTACTATGAGTCAATATACATCAGTGGGTATGCTCCACTATACATTGATAAGGGATTCAAAACTCAAATACTTGTATGTCCTCATTTCTGTGTCCCATTTAGGGAGCATGTGAATAAATGTTATATGTGGGAATATAACAATGCAGACATAAACAGATAATGTGCTAAGAAGCAAAAATGGGATTACTTTATAGGCCCATCTGTGCATCTGCTTTTTGCAGCAACACAATCAAAGAAGCACCTCTTCTTCAATCACCATATTTTATTATTAATATATGCATTTTTGCCAAGTGAATTTCAAGGTCATTTGCAGCACAGTTGAATGGGAGGATGAGAAGCAAGCAAGCAACTGCTTGATAGATCAACTGCAAAGACTCAGGATAGGACGTTACTTTCCTTCAGATCTGTCTAGCTCAGGATTACTGATTTTGACTGACAAGAACAACTGCTTTCCGAATTTTGACTAGAGGTCTTTCCCTATCACCAGTTAATGATAGTTCAAACTAGAGATGTCTATCATATATATGCTTTATCATCAGGCTGTGGTTTTAAGGGTGTGGGATGAATTGATTATTGTCCATTCAGAAGACGTATGGGACATTCCTTGGCTCTGTGTGTAAATACCACATTCTAGCCAGATTGATTACCTACTTATTTATTACCTAGAAAAAAAATGCCCCACACCCCCATAGTACATGCATAGAATGTTCTCCTCTTGCTTATCACACTTTCTTTGAACATGGAGATTATATTTAGTAGACCATGGGTGTCAAAGTCAATTTCATTGAGGGCCGAATCAGGGTTGTGTTTGACCTTGGGGGGCGGGGGGGGCATGGCCAGCTCGACAGCACTCATATCAGGGGCGCCTGTGGAGGCCTGAGCACTCTTCCAGTGAAAACGGGCTTCCGAGCTCTGTTTTTTGGCTGCAATGGCCTCCTGCAACCCTCTGCCACTGAAAACGTATCCGGCCCTCCCGAGCTCCGTTTTCACTGGCAGTGGCACCGTGGGCCAATCCTTCACTGTTTCCAGTTGGCCCCGTGGGCTGGATCCATCCCGTGGACTTTGAGATTGACACCCCTGTAGTAGACACTGGCCATCCGTAACTCATGTTTTCAGATCATGAATCTGATGAAATAACTTCTGTCAGTTGTTGGGCATTATTCAACTACAGTTCCCATCTCTTCCAATGAATGTGATTAATGAGCAGAAATAAGGGGAGTAACAGTTCAACAAGGTTAGAAAAAGATGAATAATGCTTTATTCTATATTCATCCTCACTCAGCTAGAATCCTCTAGGCCCACTTTCCAAATTCCCTCTCAAGTAGCTTAACAGCTTAAACCTGTTGACAGACTTATTTTCACTCATCTAAAACTCTTGTGTCATTTACCTGATTATTGCTTGAGGGTGGGAGAAGTGAGCATGAGAATGTAACATTTTGGAGCTCTGCTAAAGCCTTCATGCATTTTCTTCCCCTGTCCCTGGAGCTCTGACAGAAGTTCTGGGTGTACTTTTTCTCTCTTGTGCAACATCCCAACAGAGAGGCTGAGGAAATTGCAGGACAGGTCTCTGTTGAAATATACATGAGAAAAGCCAAGAGTGAGTGGCGATAACGGACCACAAAGGGAATGGAGGAAGAAGATCGTGGAACAATTACTTTCAGATATTTGGTGCTTTCCACAGTAACTCCCCTCTGCCCAACTAAGCAACATGTCTCATCCTTCGCCCTAAGTTATGGTAGCTAAGTGTGATGGCATACAAACTTATTTATCCATCCTTGAGAATCAAACAAAAAACATCCCACAGTTATACCAGAAAGCTATGCCAGTAATATTTCAAAAGAGATGTGTTGGATCGGAATTGTAAAGTAATCAATATGATTCACCCAGTTATCCAAATATTATCCGCTCTGACAGTTAGGGATTTTTGCAAGATCTCCAACAGAGAGGAGTCTGTCACTGATATATGATTCCCCTTTCTCACAATTGGAGATGGCAATGACTGCAAGCAAAGGAGGTGTATGAGGAATATGACCTGAGTGCTACTATTGAGTTTTTGTCTATCAATAACTCCTTTTTCTTGTAGCTTCTCAGCACAGGTCTAATTTAATCATTACTCTTTTCTCTTAGCACCTTGGCAATTCTGTTTATATGAGGAGGTTTTTAGCAACTTCTTAAGAGGAAACTCTATAGATTCCCAAGATTCTTGGAGGAAGCCATGCTTGCTAGAACAAGAAAGAGCCATCTGAAAATCATAAGAGATTTATTGTATTTTAACAAGGAATGGCCGGAGAAGAGTTGGACTCAATTCCTCCTCCTGAAACAAGTGGATTTGTAGCTGAATTTTATCTCAGTTGTATTTATGACATTAGCTATTTTAAAGAAGTGGAGAAACAGCCCTAT